CAGTCTCATCGGCAAGGACCCGGGTGAGTTCACTTTGGGCGCTGAGCTCGCGGATCGTTTCCCCTCTTTCATTCTGCAGCCGCAGTCGAATCAGAGGGGGCGTTGGGCCAGGGGGAAGGGGGGGGGGGGGGGGGGCGACCGCCAGGCCCGAAGAGCTGGATCAGATCCCCGTTGACTTGAGCGATCTGGAGGACGCCATGGCGACGCGCTGCGAGTTCAAGGGCGACGCGGACGTCGCGGTTGAGCGCGTCTACGAGCGCGAGCGGCGCCAGGAGGAGCGGGCGTCGCTCATGCCAGCCTGCTGGGTCGGGCACGCCATGTTCCGACACGCGCGCGGGGGCGACCCTGAGCGGGGGGGTAGTTGTAGGGGCCGGGGCAATGTCCAGCGAGATAGGGCCAGTTCTCCCTCTCCCCCCCTCGCGGGGCAGTCTCGGGAGCGCGGGGCTGACTTCCGTTGGAGAGACCGGGGGTGCCGCTATCGCACCTTTCCCGTGGCTCTATCTGGCCCGAGAGCTGAGGGCCCCGACCCTGCAGCTGACTCCCCTACAGACGTGACCGACGGTCAGCGGCGCGCCCCCCATGGTCGAGAAGGAGACGTTCGCCAGAAGATCAGCCTGCCCGAGGTCGAGTAGGTTGGTCGGGGGTCTGATGGCAAGGTCGAGGGCTCACCTGCGCGAGGCCGGGATGGCATCTCCGACCCTGGTCGAGGACATCGAGATCAGCGACCTCGAGGAGAAGTGGGGCCAGGTACAGGGCCCATGGAGGGACTGGGAGCTGCGACGGGCGACCTACATGGACGTGGAGTTGTCCGCGGTGGATGGCCAGCTGGTCAACGACTGCGGGTTCGTTTTCACGCCCGCCGAGAAGGGCTGGCGCCATTTCGCTCTTCGCCTGATGCGCGTTCTGGAGTCGGCGGCGCCCCCCAGACTGACGGCAGCCCTGGCTCCGAGGCGCGCCCCTCCTACCGCGAAAGATCAGGTGAAGCCCGAGGACCGAACACCCAGCGAACCTAAGGACTCAGCGCGGGAATCAGCACGCGATCTGGACGAAGTGCAAGGGATGAGGTTTCAGGATCCACTGCGCGCCGAAGATCCAGCAGGATAAGCTGGAGACCAAGGTCGAGAAGGAGCTCAACAAGACGAAGAGGGAGCAGGATCACATCGCCGAGCAGGAGGCCATCGGGCAGATGATCGAGAAACGCGAGCTCCAGAGTCCGCAGCCGCAGGACAGGCCACCCCTTCAGCCACCTCGTCGTCGCCAGGTGCCGATCCAGCCGTCGTGCCAGGTGGGTCAGAGCAATCGCAGGTATCCCGGCCGCCCGAACGCGCGCTGACGTACAAGATGCCACCGTCGCCGACGTGGACATGTCCAGCCACGCCGCCATCAGCAGGAGGGCCTCCACCCCGGACGACGGGCGGACCGACCGCTTACATGAGTCCACTGAGCGCCTGGGACGCGGAGTCTCGCACGGGGCACGGCGAGGTTCTGGAGCAGCTCTTGCAGGGCCGGGTGACCAGCCAACATGACATCATGAACTACATCGGCCGCGCAGCAGCAGTTCCAGGAGCTGCTGACTCTGATGCGCCTGCAGATGGCTCCGACGGGCCAGAGCGAGGGCGCGGCCTCGGGCAGCATGGAGACGCTGCGTCCGCAGTAGATCTGGGGGCCTGGGAAAAGTAAAGAGTTCCCACCATTCGGGAGGTCTCTCCCTTCTCCTCTCCCAGCCTTCAGAGCGCCCTAAAGCTCTTGGTCCCTCCTAAGGTCGATTCCAGCGGCTGGGCCGTCAAGAGTTTTGCGCGTTGGGGCCGAGCGCGGCGAAGGGATCGTCTCAGGCCTGGCCCCAACCCGAAGGCCCCGCGGGTCTGGGATTTTGATTCGGGGCCCCCTCGGTCGCTGGAAGAGCTCCCAGCGAAGGTGCATTTAGAGAGCTGAGCAGGTAGGCCCCGATGAAGAGGCTCAATGGCTAATCTACTTGGCTGGGCGCTCGGCCAATGGCCCCGCTCCGAGGTGCCCCTGTCAAGGCGCGCGCCGCTTTCAGGTTTCAAGCGCCAGAGGGGCTGGGCGACCTCTAGTGGGCGTTTTCTAGGCAAGGGCCTCAGCAGCGGATCTGGAAAGCAAGCTTCGGCTGTTCAAAGCTGACGATCTCAACGTAACCGCGTTTGCCTCAGATCTCAGATGGTCTCGAACCTTGCGAACAGCCAGCAGCGAGTCCCTCGTGGGCGGTGCTCGACGGGGGTCGGGTTCTTAGTCGGCGGGCAAGCTCAGATGCGACGATGCCTCGGCGAGTCCGGGGGGGAGCTCTGGGGACCATAGAGGGCGTCGGGGCCAGATCGGGGCCAGGAAGCTAAGGAAGGCTCTCGCTCAAGCTCTCCAGCGAGAGCAGAGGGACCCGCTTTCCGAGATGTTCCTTTTGTCCGCGAGTGTGTCTTGAGATGTCCAGGCGAGGATGCGATGCTGGGGACTCGATTGATATCCAGGCCGGGCGGGGCCTTCGCCTGGCCAGTCAGGGGGCCCGGCTCTGGAAGATGACGGAAGACGACGGGCCTCTCGTCATCGTCCTGAGTCTTCCATGCGAGGGTTTCAGCTTAGCCTGGGCGCCGGACTGGCGCTATTCCGCCGGGGCAAAGAGAGAGACCGCGTGGGGCAGTTGTGTCTCGTGTTGCGGGGGCTGCGCGTGCAGCTTGCTATGTCTCAGATTTCGAAAGGAAGGTATTGTCTGGATTGAATATCCTCTCGGAGTTTTATCCCAGCGGCCCAGGTCAACCGAAGAACTTCGTAGACGGCCCAGGGTGGCATCGGTCCGGGCTGACCGGCGCGAATGCGCGTTGCGCGCTCTGGGCGGAGGCCTGGTCATGAAGCCAAATCGTCTCATCTCCAACAGTGCTCCTCTCTTGTCTCGTTGTCGCAGAGCGCGTTCGGGCAAGCATGTGCGCTCTCAGTTTGTGAGGGGGGCCAGGGCCTCAGCGGCCGAGAGGTGCCCCAAGCAGCTGGCGCTGGCATTAGCGGAGGGGACTGACCAGACAGGGCTTGAGTTTCTGAGGCGCAGCGCCGAGGGATGCCTCGGTATTTCTCCTGTTGGAGCCGCCAACCCATCGGCGGATTCAAGTCCTGAGGATGACGCGGAGCGCATCGATGATTCAGATGACGTGCCCGAGGGGTGATCAGGTCCAGGGGTCCCATGCAAGGCTGTTTCGGATCAAATCCCGAGGGCAATGCAAAACGAATCGCGCAAGCTGCATGTGAACCTCGGACACCCCCGGAAAGAACACTTCATCAGAACCCTCAAGGTGGTTCAGGCGAAGCCCGAAGTCGTCCGCTGGGTCAGACGACATTTCGCATGTCCCACACGCGCTGGCACGAGCCGGAAGGGGAGGTGGCGTCGAAGAGCTTGTTTGCTTAGAACGTTCCGGTTTAACACATTGGTCGCCGCCGACTTGTTTTATATTTAGAAACTCTAGGCGAGGGCCGGCCGATCCTGAACCTGATCGGCCATGTCAGCAATTTTCAGGCGTACGTTTTGTTGCCTGAGGCCACGGCGGCAGAAGTCTGGTCTGCGTGTTTGCGTCACTGGGTCAGGACAATGGGCATGCTGGAGACTGCGATGACAGACGGAGGAGGATACTTTGAGGGTGCTTTTGCTCGGGGCTTGGAACATAGCGGAACCTACCGATGCGCGTGACGCTGAGTCGCCGCACAAGAATGGTCGCTGCGAGCGTCAAGGAGGCCTTGTCAAGGATGCCTCGGCGCGGGCTGGGAGGACTTGGAAGATTTTCGTTGCGGGGTTACGGCCGCCAAGAACCGCTGCACTCACAGAGGAGGTTTTTCACAGTGCCAAATGGTTTCCGGGGAAACCCTCGACTTCCTCGTTGCCTGCTGTCGGGCGAAGCGATCGACGAAATAGGGGTGAGAGATATCGTTAAAGGGGCGACCGACTCTGAGAGTCCAGCTGCTGCTTTCGCCCGGAAGCACGCGCTTCGCGAGGAGGCCAAGCGAGTCGTGATGTCCATGGACATCAAGGGCGTCGTCATGTGGATTATGTTTTTTTTCCCCTGGGTGCGCGTGTGGAGGCTCTCTCAGGGGCAGGCCCGCGAGGGCCCAGCTGGCATCGGCAGGGGCCGTTGGACAGGTCGGGGGGCCGTGGTCTTCCAGCAAGGTACTGCGACATGGGTGGCGATGCGGTCGCGCCTGCTGAAGTGCGGGCAGGAACAAGTTCGATGGGCTTCTCGAGAGGAGTCCCGGGGGGCTGAGCTGTTGGACTCGCCCAGTTTTGATCAGCTACGCAGGGGCCTCCGCGATCCAGGGGAGCGGGCAGGGGCCGTGGATGTGGAAAGGACGGGGCCTCCCCCCCTGAGGCGCGGGACGCGGCGGAGGGCGCGTGGCCGACCTTGGCCGAGGCATCGCCCAGGGAGGCGTGGCTCGTCGGACCCAGCCTGCTGGCGTGCGCGCGGCTTGCAAGGGCAGGCAGTGGAGGGCCGAGCACAATTCGCCTTGGCAGGGGATTTGGGATGCGTCTCCTTTTGTCCACTCTCCCTCCCCTCCTCTCGGCCTCCCTTTTTTCCAAATTGTGGCCTTAGTGCCACGTTGTGTTCGCGATTGCGCTTCGATCATACGAGCAAGCGACGCGGCGGAGGGCGCGTGGCCGACCTTGGCCGAGGCATCGCCCAGGGAGGCGTGGCTCGTCGGACCCAGCCTGCTGGCGTGCGCGCGGCTTGCAAGGGCAGGCAGTGGAGGGCCGAGCACAATTCGCCTTGGCAGGGGATTTGGGATGCGTCTCCTTTTGTCCACTCTCCCTCCCCTCCTCTCGGCCTCCCTTTTTTCCAAATTGTGGCCTTAGTGCCACGTTGTGTTCGCGATTGCGCTTCGGATCATACGAGCAAGCGTTCCACCGAGGAGAGATGAGGCGAAAGGATGAGGCATCACAGAAGGAGGGAGGGAAAAAGGAGGAGGAAACGGAGGAGGAGGAGGAGGAGGAGGAGGACTCCCACTTCGGCCCTCACCAGGACGAGGCCGTGGTGGCTGGCCAGCCGCCCAAGGGCAAGCTCGTCACGCTCGTGGGAACACCGCCTCCGCGGCTCGGCAAGGCCTTCCGGGAGGGAGGGGCCCTCCCGCTCCCCCCCTGGACTCCCACCGCCACAGGGCCACGCGCGCCCCCGCCCCCGCCATCTGCTCCGTCCGCCCCCCCAGTCATCTTCCCTGCGAGCCCCATTTTCTTGCTGGGGTCGCTTCCCCTCCTTCCCTGCATGCTTAGTGACGTCCCCCCCTTGACAGCTCGAGTCTGTGCCTCCCGATTTCCCTCATCCCTCCCCCCCCCCCCTCCTGCCCCGCTGCTGCCGTCTCTCCTCGTCGTCGCTGCCAACTTGCGCTGCCCGTCCCCCTCCCCCCTCTGCCGGGATGCGAGGGCGCCAAGCGGCACGCGCCCTGGTCCTCGCCGGTCGCGCCTGGCGTGCCCGCGCAAGCCGAGAACCCGAACTTCGCGCCGGAGATGGTGGAAGCGAAGAGGGAGGAGACCTTTTTGGCGAGAAGAAAGAATGAGTATTCGCCGGAGTGACCATTTGGTGCGGGCACGCCAGGGCCCACAGATAGTTGAACGCGATGCGATGGCAGCGGCTTTCGCGCTCGGGGTTCGCCTGCCCACGGCCCCCGAAAGTCACGCATCAAAGGTCACTCTTGCCCAGACTCACTCTTTCGTGCAACCGACCCCCGATCCGCCTCCTTTGTTCAGGGGCAGCATTGGATGATGGTGCTTCGGCCTGGGCGGTGCAGCGCTGCAGAGTGCAGCAGCGTCCTCCGCCCCTTTCGATCGGGGTTGCGGATCTTTCTGGCTACTTCTTCTCTTGCATTTGACTCGTGATGCGAACGCCACGCGTGCGGGCTGACGGGGACTACATCGAAGCACGTTCACGTGGATGTTGATGCAGAACAACGTTGCGGTGGGGGGGGGGGGGGAAAGGCTCAGGGGGGGATGTATGTATGTATGTATGTATGTTGTTTGTTTGTTTGTTTGTTTTGTATGTATGTATATATATATATATATATATATATATATATATATATATATCAGAGTGAGGGGGGCTGAACCGAATGGTCATTCACTATCCTTCGGTGCGTGGCTGAAGTGGAATTCCGCGATGCAGATTATTGTTGTTGTTGTTGGTGGTGATGGTGTTGATTGTTGTTTGTTGTTTGTTGTTTGTTGGTTGCTGGTTGTTGGTTGTTGGTTGTTGTTTGTTGGTTGTTGGTTGTTGGTGATTGCTTGTTGCTTGTTGTTTGTTGATTGTTGTTGTCGTCGTCCCACCCGCGACCCGCCCCACGACCCACCCGCGACCCACCCCGCGACCCGCCCGCGACCCACCCACGACCCACCCCCACCCCGCGACCCACCTGCGACCCACCCGCGACCCACCCGCGACCCACCCCGCGACCCGCCCGCGACCCACCACGAGACCCCTGGCGACCCACCCGCGACTCACCGCGACCCACCCGCGACCCACCCGCGACCCACCCGCGACCCCACCCGCGACCCACCGCGACCCACCCGCGACCCACCCGCGACCCACCCCGCGACCCACCCAAAATTTTCGGCGCCTGCGGCGGGTTGTTTTTGCATTCGTTCCAGCTGGAGAACCTGCGACCCCCACCCGCGACCCAAACCGCGCCCGCGACCCACCCGCGACCCACCGCGACCCACCCGCGACCCACCCAAAAGTTTTGGCGCCTGCGGCGGGCTTCTTTTGCATTCGCTCCAGGTGGAGAACCTGCGACCCACCCGCGACCCACCGCGACCCACCCGCGACCCACCCCACGACCCACCCAAAATTGTCAGCGCCTGCGGCGGGCTTCTTTTGCATTCGTTCCAGGTGGAGAACCTGCGAAGCAACCGCGACCCAAACCTCGTTCAGTGTACTAATCAACATTTTCGGCGACTGCCGCGGGCTGTTTTTGAATTCCCTCCAGGTGGAGGTGGAGAGCCCGCGACCCACCCGCGACCCAAACTACGTTCACTGAACAAGCCAAAACTTCGGCGCCTGCGGCGGTACCTTCTGCATTCGTTCCAGGTGGAGAACCTGCGACCCACACCGCGTCCAGTGTACAAATCAAAATTTCAAGATCCTGCGGCGGGCTGTTTTTGAATTCCTTCCAGGTGGAGGTGGAGAGCCCGCGACCCACCCGGGACTCAAACTACGTTCACTGAACAAGCCAAAAATTCTGCGCCTGAGGAGGAAACGGAGGAGAAGGTGGAGGAGGAGGCGGACGACGACGACGATGACGATGAGGACGAGGACGCGGACGAGGAAGAGGAGGAGGAGGAGGAGGAGGAGGAGCAGGAGGACGAGGGGTCCGCCGGCTCGACGCCCGCGTCGCCCACCCCGCCCCCTCACTCTTATCCGCAATTGCGGGGCGTAGGTAGGTGTATGTGCGCCGGCCCTCCCCGGAACTTGCGTATTCGCTATAGGGAGCTCGTCGGCGATGCATCGCCGAGCCTTGGTCGATATCTTCCCCCTTTGAGCCAGTCCCCCGGCTATCCTTGGCGGGGGCGTGCCGCTGCTCCTCTCTCGCCAGCCTCGTTCCTTCTCGCCGCCCTCTTCCGCTGGAGATCCTCCCCTGGAGGACCGAGATTAGGTGGCGACGATAAGGGGGGCGAGTAGCCCAGTGGCGCGCATTACACGTATTAGCCCAGGGCCTCGTCGAAGGCATGGACCATTGGCGCCGCTGGTACATGTATTGCTCTCCCCTGAGCTATGTGGACGAAGACCGAGAGCAGTTCCTGTCCTGTTGGAGCAGGACTCGCGGGTGTCGCCCCGGACGTCACCAATGCGTCATTTGGGACACACGTCGGCCGCCCAGCAGCGGCTGCTACCTATTCGGTTTGGGCAGCATGTGCTGTCAGGCACCGTCCCTGCTTGCTCTGTCTCCAGTTCGGATGTCCCTCCTTGTTCGAAGAACTAATTATCGGGGGCGGAAAAGAGGGGGGTGATGACTAGGGGGGGGATATCATGGCGGGGGCCATGATATTTCCCCAGATTTCATATCGCCTCTTCTTATTCTATAGGCTTACGCCACATCCGCCGACCCCTTGGGACTCCTGGAAAGCCCTGGGGGGGTCCGAACAGCACCAACATAGTGTCTTTTTCTATTTCCTGCGTGGTCTTACTCGTGCACTGTGTCGCAGCTGTCACCGTCGACAGTCAGGACTCCCATCGCCACCAGAGTGATGGCACACGGAGCACGCCCTGAGGGATCGCAACCCTCCTCTCTCCAGCCGCGCGACAAGAAATCCAACGTTGTGCAATTCTGAGGAACGCTGTTGCTGTGAGTATCGTGTTCGGTGGAGCCCCCCATGTCGCCGAGACAAACCGCCGCGGGCCGCTGCTGCGTCGCACCAGGCCTACCCTCAGCAGCCGCCGAACCAGGCCGTCGCGCGAATCTTCATATGTTCTGTGCATATATATTCAAAAATAATATATTTACCCTTGTGTATATGTGTATATATACATATACACATCCAATCATATGTACACAATATATTATATATATATATATATATATATATATATATATATATATATATATATATATATATATATATTCACACACGCGTACATATCATGGGCAGAAATGCGTGCACAGAGGTGGCACTGCGCGGTGTCACTCGAGAGCGCTTGTGGGCCCGTCTTGGGGCCCTCTAGGGCTACGTGGGGAACCCTCTTGGAGGCGTCTGGGGCCGTCTGGGAGCGGGCGCGGGGGGCTCTGTGGCCATCCAGGAGCACGGACACCCGAAAAGGCCCACGCGTCAAAAAATCAACGTTTCACGAAGGGAATGGGCGATTTTTTGGCGTCTCGAGGCCCTCTTAGGGCATATCTTGGATGCCTCTTGGGGCACCGTGGGAGCCTCTGGAGCCGTCGGGGGGCCGTCGCCGTTGGTGAGGATCGCTCGTGGACCGTCAGGGACCATGTGGAGCTCTCTTGGAGGCCACGCGGAGCGCTCCTGGAGCGCTCTTGGGACCGCTTGCGGACCCCTTCTGGGGCCACCTTGGACGCCTGCGGGCCCGTCTTGGGGCCCTCTAGGGCTATGTGGGGAACCCTCTTGGAGGCGTCTGGGGCCGTCTGGGAGCGGGCGTGGGGGGCTCTGTGGCCATCCAGGAGCAAGGACACCCGAAAAGGCCCACGTGTCAAACAATATACGTTTTACGAAGGGAATGGGCGATTTTTGGCGTCTCGAGGCCCTCTTGGGGCATATCTTGGATGCCTCTTGGGGCATCCTGGGAGCCTCTGGAGCCGTCGGGAGGCCGTCGCCGTTGGTGAGGATCGCTCGTGGACCGTCGGGGACCATGTGCAGCTCTCTTGGAGGCCACACGGAGCGCTTCTGGAGCGCTCGGGAGGCCGTGTTCAGAGCCCTCGTGGGCCGTCTTGGACGCCTGTGGCCCCGTCTTGGGGCCCTCTAGGGGTATGTGGGGGACCCTCTTGGAGGCTTCTTGGGGCGTCTGGGAGCGGGTTTGGAGGCCTCGGGCCGTCGGGGACCATCAGAGAACCCAGAAACCGAACTTGTGAAAATTGTTCGTTTCACGAAGGGAGTGGGCCAATTTTTGCGTCCAGGGACCCTCTGGGGGATTCGTGACGACCTCTTCTGCCGTCGAGGAGGCCTCGTAGCCCGTCTTTGGGACACCTTGGGCGTCTTGGGGAGCTCGTTGGGCGTCCAGGAACCGTTTCGAGGCCACCAAAGGAGTCCCTACACGATTTTCACGAGGTTTTGCACGATTTTCGGGAGCGGATGACCCCTCCGGGGCCGTTCGGGGCCGCCCGGGGCCGCCCGGGGCCGCCCGGGGGGTCTGGGGAGACCCCCCCCCCTCCAAATCGACCGGGCCGGGCTCCCGGGGGAGGGGTTTGGGGAGGGGGAACATCTCACACGCCGATGAACCCCAAGGGGTCGGCGGATTTTATTACGTCCCTGGCCCCCCCGCTGGGCCGTGCACGTGCCGCCGGTCATGATTTGCACCCCCCCTCTTGGACACCCCCCTCTTGGCCGCTCTCGAAATTACGAAGAACTGCGAACTTGCATCTGCAAGAACCTTCGGTGATCGGCGCGAGTTTTTCGGGTCGGCGTTGGGGCCCCCCCTCCGCGCTTGGGGGGGGAGGTGGTCCAGCCCCGAGCCAAGAAATTCGCGCGGACCTCAGAACATTCACATTGATGTACTTGCGCCAGGTTGGGCGAAAGGGGGGGTTTGGGAAAGGGGGATTACGAAATCTGCTGCATGCAGCATGTTCCGGCCCCGCCGCCGGGCCCATTCATTCCTCGATACATGGGCGCCTCCCGGCGCCGGGAGGCGCCGGTAAAATCAGCTACGCGAGCTGATTCTCACCCCCCCCTTCCTATCCCCCCATTTCGCCGGCCCCATTGCGTATTTTTCAACCTGTGTCTCTCATCGTCCTTCTCCTGCCTCCCGCGGCTGCTTCTCCTCCTCCCGGACCTGCTCTTCCACCAGCTCCTCTGGCTCCTGATCCTCTCCATCCTGCCACCCTCACGCTGCTCTTGCTGCTCCTCTTCCGGACGGCCCCAGATTTTCAAGGCAAGATTCAGAAATAGCGTTCCCCAGGACCCACCCCAAACCCCACCCCCAACACCATCCTGATTGCGCACTGTCCGTGGGTGGACGTTTGAGGTGATATATGAGGTGCATTTGTTTGGTTGTGTGTGTGGGCTCTGGTGGCTGGTGCGGCGATCCAGAACGATGCCGCTTGAGGGCCTGGCCGCGCGCGCCCGTTCCCCCGCTTTCGACTTACTCCGCCTCGTCACTGCACGCGAGGCCGTGATAGTTTGCCAAAGTGTGTGTGTGTGGGGGGGTGTGAGAGTGTGGTTGCGTGCGTGTATGTGTGTGTGTGTGTGTGTTTGTGTGCACGTGTGTGTGTGTGTGTGTGTGTGTGTGAGTGAGTGAATGAGTGAGTGAGTGATTGAGTGAGTGAGTCAGTGAAAGAGGTGTGTGTGAGTGAGAGAGGTGTGTGCTACTGGAGGCCTGGTCCCAGCGCGAGGCCTGGCGGCTGGCCAGCAGGCGCGCTGACTTCCGGCACGTCGACGTTGGCGTCGACCGCTGGGCAACGAGGCGGCTCCTGACCAGCGGCTCGCTGGCGACAGACGCCGCGGGGGCGTTGCGCGCGGTGCTCGCGGGCAACGTGATTACCGAATCCGTCGCAGCGAAGTGGGGGCGGCCTGCAGCTTGCCCGCACCGCGGCGCGCCTGTGGAGGATCTCGAACACCGCATGTGGATCTGCCCGTGCTGGGAGCCCCAGCGCCGAGCGGCGTTGCAGCCAGAGGGTTTCACTGCGGAGGCCGCCCGCGCCTGCGTGCCTCCCGAGGCAGCGCGCACGGGCGTCTTGCACCGGAACCCTCGCTTGGCAGTCCTCGCGGAGGAGGCCCGGCTGCCCTTGCCGCTGCCCGCGCTCCCCGACCCGCTGGCCGGCCTCCCGGCTGCGCCACAGCGCAGGCCACGCGCCTGGACGGACGGTTCCTGCGCGCGCCCGGGCGAACCCCTCCTCGCCAGAGCTGGCTGGGGCGTCCACCTCGAGGGCGGCGCCGGAGGCCACGTGGACCGCCATGGCCCCGTCGATGGAGCGCAAACCGCCCAGCGCGCAGAGGTCTGGGCTTGCGTGCAGGCGCTGCACTTGGCGGGTGGCTGCGTGGAGGTGGTCACTGACTCCCGCTTCGTCAGCCGCGGGGTCGCAGCGCTCCGGGGCGGCGCCAGCCCAGCTGACTGGGCGCACGCAGACTAGAGGCGATCGCCCCGCGTTGCCGCAGCGGGGTGCTGCGCGCCCGCTGGGTCAACTCGCGCGTCGACGCCGACCAGGCGAGCGAACGCGGGATGTCCGAGGAGGACCGCGCGGGCGACGCAGTAGCGGACCGCCTGGCGGGACTGGCCGCCGAGGGCCCGATGCCTGCGACCGCACTGCGCCAGGAGCGGCAGCGGCAGCTCGACGCGCTGGCTGCGGTGCAGAGGGTGTTGGCGTTCGTGGAGCTCGCGGCGCTCAAGGCCAACCATGCTCCGCGCGGCGCTGCGGGGCCGCGCGTTCGGCGTCGCTGGGCGGCGCCGCGCGCCGCGCGGCCCCGGCAGGCCCCGCTGGACCGCGTCGCGAGGCCTGCGGCCGCGTGCGGTGCAGCCGCCCCTGCCCCGCCGGCTGCCCCGCCCGCGCTGGCGGCCGCGGTTCGCTCGCTGTTCGTGGGCCACGCCTGGCGGCCGCACGCGGCGTCCCAGGGGCCAGGACGGGTCGCCTGCCTCCGCTGCGGCGGATGGGCCAAGCAGTGGCGCGGGTTGGCGAGCCGGCCGTGCGCCGGCCGGGTGCAGACGCTGCCGCCGCGCGCGGCGGGCCTGCTGCTGCTGCCCGCGGCCCGCGCCGGTGGCGCCGAGGCCGGCTGGCGGGCGGCGCTGCGGGCGCGGCTCGCCCGAGGCGCCAGGCTAATTAATTGCATTGGCGGCGCCGCCGCAGGCGCGGGAGCGGGCCGCGCGCCCGCCGCACCCTCCCCCCTCCTCCCCCTTGCCCCCTCCTCCGCCACTGGGCATTCTTCGCGCTGGTAAAAAAAGAGTGTGTGTGTGTGTGTGTGTGTGTGTGTCTGTGTGTGTGTGCGTGTGTGCGTGTGCGTGTGTATGTGTGTGTGTGTGTATGTGTGTGTGTGCGTGTGTGTGTGTGTGTGTGTGGCGTGTGTGTGCGTGCGTGTGTGTGTGCGTGTGCGCGTGTGTGCGTGTGTGTGTGTGTGTGTGTCTGTGTCTGTGTCTGTGTCTGTGTCTGTGTCTGTGTCTGTGTCTGTGTCTGTGTCTGTGTGTGTCTGTGTGTGTGAGGGGGAGAGGGTTTGTGTGTGGGTGTGTGTGTGTGTATGTTTGCTCCCGCCCCCGCTCGCGTTTCCGGCGAGGTTACTCCCGCCTCCCCTGAAGCTCGTGGTCCCGCATGCCCCTCGGCAGTTCCTTGTCTCCTCTCCGTCCGTCCTGCAGCGTCTGCCCTGCCCTTCCTCGCCGCTCGCCCCATTCGGTCCCACCTGTGGGCACTGCGCTTCGCCTCGTCCTGTTTGTACTGTGGGTGCTGGCCTTTCGGCACCGCCCCTTTCTATTCCTTCGCCTCTCCCCCCCGCGGCCCACGCCAGGGTGTGCGCATGGCGCCGTGGATCCCTTCGGGCGGATGCCGGCCCCTGGTTTCTGAGTGGGCCGGCCGCGCGCGCGTTTGCCACGCCTCCCGACCTTTTGCACCTCGACGTTGCGCGCGAGTCCGCGACGTCAAAAAGTGTGTGTAGGAGGCCGCATGCATAGATACGTGCGTCTACGTACTTATGCGTGGGCTCGCGTGTGTCCATGCGTGTGCGTGCGTGTGCTTGTGGGCGAGCGTGTGTGTGTGTGTGTGTGTGTGTGTGTGAAAGCGTGTGTGTATGCGTGTGTGTGTGTGTGTGAATTGGGCGAGCTGCTCCTTCGGTTAGTGTTCCCGCGCGCCCCCGTGCTAATAGGATCACGATGAGGCATCGGAGGAATAGGGAACAAGGATGGGAAGTTTGATAAACACATCAGCGGGGGAGGGGAGAGATTTGCAGGATGACGAGGAGAGAGGACCAATATAAAACATGGGACATGTCCTCCAGGAGGTTCTAGATGCGATCATAGAGTTGCTGGAGGTGAACGGTGGCGAGATGACCCTCATTAACCTCGGGCAAGACAAGCGCATCGGCGAGTTGAAGAGAGGGGTCGTCGCGCCCCTCACGGCCCTGCTTATCCGACCTCTGTCGTTCACTAATTATTCCCCGTCGGCTCATCCGGAGGCGTCAAGGCTTCCAGATTGACGGTCGAAACGTTGTCAGGGTGCCAGGGCCTTGCGATTTGGGAGCCGAGACATCTGTTTGGATGGGTTCGGAGCCTTTGGGCAGATGGGGGCTGGCCCAGCGCGGAAGGTATGAGTAGCAGCAGCAGAGACAGGACAGGGAGGAACGGATAGTCTGGCGCAACATGTGGCGGCGCCGTTTGGTTTATGTTGTTTGTTTTCTCTCTCTCTCTCTTTCTCTTTCTTTCGTGTTTTTTTTTCCTCTCTCTCTTTTTCTCTATCTCTCTCCCTCTCTCTCACTCTCGCTTTCGCTATCGCCCTCTCTCCGGGCAAGGCGAGGTTCCGCGAGCTCAGCTCTGGCGCCCTTCGAGGACACCTTGGCCCTCCCCCCTTGGCTGCCTTGCTGCGCCGAGGGTCCGAAGGTCCGGCGCTCGGAGAAAGCTGCCCACCTTACCCAGCCTGAGGAAGGAGGACCACCACGCTGCCAGCCACCAGCTGGAGGGGCGGGCCTGCTCCTGTTCCCACGAGCCGCCACGAGGGCGCGCAGTTATCCGCGGCTCGCGATTCGCGATTCCTTATCTTGGTCCTTTATTTCGAAAAAGAATAAAAACATCAACTTTTGGCGCTCCGCGCTGATTTCTCGGATCCGCGCTGGGCCCCACGGCGGCGCCTCCGTCCGGCGCCGCCCCTGGCGCGCTCCGCGCGCGAGGGGGGTCCGGCGCAGATCCAAGAAGTCCGCGCGGAGCGCCAACAGTTTATGTCTATGGCGTTTTTTCTTCTTACCCCCTGGGGGTGCGGCGCGAAAGCGCGGAGCTGTTCGCGTTCTCGCGCGGTGCGAAGAGTGAACATTGCTGCCCTTGGTTCCTTCGGTACGCTTTGGGGTTCATCCGTACCGCCTCACGCTGTGCTCCAGGCCCTCGCGTGCAGCTCCATGACGGCGGTCGAGGGGATCGGCACAGATGTTTAATTAGTGTTGCCGTCGGTCCGATGTTGCCTTTTGTTTATGTCGGGCGTGTCCCCCTACAGGGGGATTTTCGACGAAAAATCAGAAATACCCCCAAAATACTCCAAAAAGGTAAACAAAACAAATTCAAAAAACAGTCCCCAGACTAGTTTTGGATTATTGTCTGAATATGTTGGGGGTATATTTTATTTTTCGTCGAAAATCTCCCTGTAGGGCGACAGGCCCGACTTAACCTTTGGTTCCTCTGGTGCCCTCCTCGGAGTCCTCCCAGGGTCTGTCGAGAGACGCCCGGGGGCCTCCGAGAAAAGGGCCGCCCGCACCCGAGGGAGACGGGCGCGCTCGCCCAGCGCGCGCCGCGGCGGCTCGAGGAGGGCGGTGCTCCCGTGGGCTTCCCGGGGGAGCTGGGGCCCCCCAGTGACCGATTCGGGAATCCTTTTGCTGTTGTTCCTCCCTCCTCCTCCTCCTCCTCCTCCTCCTCCTCCTCCTCCTCCTCCTCCTCCTCCTCCTCCCTCCTCCTCCTCCTCCTCCTCCTCCTCCTCCTCCTTCTCCCACTCCTCGTCCTCCTCCTCCTCCTCCGCCTCCTCCTGCTGCTGCTCCTCCTGCTCCTCCTCCTGCTGCTGCTGCTCCTCCTCCTCCTCCTCCTGCTGCTGCTCCTCCTCCACTGGCGTGACGTGCGGGGGGGACGGGGTGGAGGAGGCTGGGCACGTCACGATTCGTGCCGGCGCCGTCGGGAAACGCCATAGAGTGGCTCATTCCCACACGGCGCTGGCGCGAGTCGTTAGGCGACCGAGGGGGGGGAGGTCAGGGACAGCGAGAGAGGGGGATAGGCATAGGGGGGGTATGCATTGACCCCTAATCGCCCACTGATCGCCGATAGGGGCCCGATAGCCCCAATCTGCACAGCCAGGTGCGGATTCACTATCGGGGGCCCGTCGCCAATCCATCGGCGATGCATCGCCGACTCCTGGTCGATGGCTCCTCCCCTGTGCCGGTGCCCCTCTGTCGTGGCCCCCCGAAGGGGCGGGAGGGGGGGGGGGGCGGTCGCGGGCGTCGCGAAGCATCCAAAAGTTCGCTTTCTGTGTGCGCCGTGGAGCCGCCGGCGATCTGTGTGCACCGTGCCGCGCCGGCGCCCCCCCAAGGCGTCGTCGATCGTGAGCGTTTTCTTGTTCATGGTTGTGCCGATCGGCGCGGGCCCCCAAACTCGGGACGGACGAAAGGGGGGGGAATTGGGAAAGGGGGGGGGGTACGAAATTTGCTTCATGCAGCTGATTTCGGCCTCACCGAGGGGCCCATTCCTCGATACATAACCGCCTCTGGCGCCGAGAGGCGCCGGGAAAATCAGCTACGTGAGCTGATTCTCAACCCCCCCCTTTGTTATCCCCTTCTTTCGCCCGACCCGACAAACCCCCCCTCCCCCCCCCAATGGAGTAGATCTTGGCCGTTTTTTGGCGCCTGTTTCGGGCAGGTGGAGTCCCCCTTGGGGCGCGCTGTTGCAAGCGGGCGCCTTCAGCAGGGGTCCGGAGCCAGACCCCTCCCCTCCCCCCCCTCTTCCGCCCAATGTCGAAGCACCGAATAAAAAGATGCTCACATTCGACCCAGGAATGGTACGGTGCACGAAGTTTCGGCTTCCTGAGCCGAAGAACTCTGTGCACCGTATCGCGCTGGAGCGGGGCCTTCTGGGAGACGAGAGGGGTTTGATATCATGGCCAGAGCCATGAAATCGCCCCGGATTTGATTGCCCCCTCTTCTTCTTTCAATGCGTCCCTTGGTCCCCCCCTCCTCCGTGCACATGTCTCGGACCATTGTTTGTGAACCCCCCTCTTGGACTCCCTATCTCGGCCGTCTCCGAGGAGGGAGGGCAGGAGGTCGAAGAAGAACTTCTGGCAGAAAGCCCTATTACACAGCCTGACGCATTCACACGAGGGGGGCCACGGTTCTCGTTCCGCATCGCCCTCGATGGGGCGACTTTTGACTCTTTCTGCGAGTGCGTGCCCATCCTGAGGCGCTTCAGAGAAGGCCCTGCTGCCGCCTTCTGCGCGCCGCGCCCTCGGCGGAAGGCCGGCGCAAGGCCAGCGGAAGGCAAACGTCGGCGGGCCCGCCGCCGGAGCTCGGCGGCAGCTCGGCGGAAGCAGCAGCTAGGCGTCTGCGCGTGTTGTCTCGGGGTCGGCACCGCCTGTCCTCCGCACCCTCCGGCCGCCTGAGGCCCCGCCCGCCCGCGCCCTGCCTCCCCAATCAGTGCCTCGCGCGCCCCGCCTATAGCTCTTCACCGGAAGAGGCCCGGTCTCGACCCCCCGACCCAAAGAGTGTGGTCTCGGGGTTTCGGGGATCGGCCCTCTGCTCCGGCACCGCTTCACGTGGCTCGGACGCCGCTCCGGCAGCGGCGCGATTTCCGTGTGCTGCGCCCTCGCCGGAGCGCTGTGACCCCCCGGTCGGCACTGTTTGCTTCACGTGGCGTGCTGCTGCATGGGGCGCTCCGAAGCAGAGGCCCCTCGCCTCGGGGGGATCGAGAACGTGACCTCTCCTCTTCGGCGGAAGACCAGCGGGAGTAGGACGAGGGCGGTTCTTCAGTGGAGGCCTGCGGAAACAGGAGAAGGTAAAAGCTGCTGTTCCTTCGTAGAGGTGGCATGTTGTTATAGGTGGCATTCTGTTTGGATTCGGGATTTCTGGAGTCGGCCACTTGTCACCCTCGAGGGAGCGGGGGCACGTCCTTCTTGCTCCTCTTGTTTTTTGTGTGTCCTTCTATTCGGGCGCTGTTTCGTTTCACTTGGCGGCCGTTCGTGGGGCGGAATGCTTGACCTACGAACCAGCCGTGTCCAGTCGAGCAGGGGATCCCAGGGAACTAAGGTTTGATGCCCAGCTGGTTTTCCTCCATGCGCGGTGCTTGCTCCCCACACGCTTGTTCCATACGAGAATGGCGGTGCCTGACTCGGCCGCCCTCTTGCATCTGCAGGCCCGCGCCTGTTCCAGCATCGATCCCCGCCATGTGGGAGCCGTCCCTGACGCGAGATGTGCCTCGCCAGGAAGGCTTGCGGTCCTGAGGGGAACCGATCCCAGGTCCCAGACCCCGGGGGCCTCCCCCAGGACCAGCTCGTCACCCCGCGCTTTTTGTGTGACGGTCCCAGGGCCTGTTGAAGGGACCCAAGCAAGCAAGATGACCAAGTATCCTGAGGGACGAGGCGGCTGGTAGGCGAGGACGCTCGTGGTTCCTGCCGAAAATCGCATCGGAAAACTTACCGCCGACAGCGGCAGTGTCGGCACCGCCGCGGGCTGGACTAAACAGCCGGGCAGGAGGAGGAGGAGGCCCGAAAACCACGGCAAACTTTTTGGACCCATTTCCTCCAGGACCCGTTTCCTCCACTCTAGCCTTGCTCCTCCGCTCTTTCCCCCCCCGTCTGGTCGCCCCCAGGTCGTCAACAACCTGTCGAAGTGGTTCTCCAAGATCTCCTCGTCGTCCGGCATCCTGGAGCTCTTCGACGGTGCGCCGGACGAGGAGGGCAAGCCGCCGATTAAGATGGCCCGCCCCCCCGCGCGTCCGCCTCGTTGGGCTGTCGTTCGCTGGTTGCGACGAGACCGTAGCGTGCAAGTCCGCGGCAGATCTCCGACGATGTGTATATATATATATATAGATATGTGTGTATTCAGGGTTTCTTCATAAGCGTGGGGGTACCCCCCCTCAACCTCGCCTCGTCGTCGCGCCGCGACGGGGGTCGGAGCGCCTTCGGCGCGCAGTGGCTGCCCGCGACGGGGGTCGCGGCGGTGGTGACGCCCCCCCGACCCTTATTCAGAATCTCTGAGTAGTTTTGCCCTTTGTATTAACTGTTCTGGCGTTTGCGCGGGTCTTCGGAGCCTGGGGCCCTCCTCCTCCTCCTCCTCCTCCTCCTCCTCGTCCTCCTCCTCCTCCTCCTCCTCCTCCTCCTCCTGTTCAGCCCGGGGGCACCCGGGTGGGTCCCCACCCCCGTCACACAGGGGGACCCCCGGGCATTGGGGTTGGGGTCCCGGGTCTCGCCACCACGCCGGGACTCCCCTCGGAGCCGGCCACGAGCGCCAGGCCTCCCTTCGGAGCCGGCCACAAGCTGCCCTGCTGGAGCCTCCCTGCTGGGGCGAAGGGGCGAGGAGGCAGGAGGGGGGAGGGAAGGAGCGAGGAAGGAAGAGAGGCGAAGCGGCGGCCAGAGAGGGGCAGGCAGAGAAGGCGGCGCAGGAGGCAGTAGCCCGGCGTGCCGCGCTCAGTGTGCGCCCAGTTCCAGCTAGCGGCCTGGCCCCGGCCAGAAGTCAGTCTGGCGCCGCCGCCTGGGCGAGCCGCTCCCCGCGGCGTCAAGCTAGCCCGGCTGCTCGGCGGCGCTGCAGCGCCAGCTGAGCCTGCACGGCGCAGCTGATGGCCTTGTAGGCCCGCGTCAGCTCGCCGGGCTGCTGGTCCTCCGGCAGCGTGCGCACCTGCCGCAGAAGCCACTGTCGGGCTTCTCCGCCTAGGCGCCCCGGGGTTTCCACCACGAATGGCGTCAGTCTGTCCCCCGGGTACCTGGCGTGTTTCTGGCGCTCGCCTCTCCGGGCGGCCTCGCCAGGCCTGCGCGCCGCCGCCTGCGCCACGTCCTCGGCTGCTGGGTGGCGGACCGAAACATCGATCCAGTGGCGGCTGGCCCCGTCGCTGTACTCGACGTCCAGGATTGCGCGTTCGAGGAGGTCTGCGTCTGGCGGGTCTGCCGGCCGCCGGTTGCGGATCCGGTCCCAGGCCGGCACCCGCTGCTCCGTCAGCGGCTCCTGGTGCAGCCAGCGGCGGACCAGGCCGGCCACCGCGTTTTCGAGGCTGCCGTGGCGGCGCTCCACACCGCCGCCCAGGGCGCAGGTGGCCGCGTGCGTGCCTTGCTCGTCCAGCGGCTGCCCGCAGGGCGCGCCGCGGGCCCCCTCGGCGACAGGGCGGTTCTGGCAGGTCTGCGCAGCCGTCTGGAGCTCTGCCTGCGCGCATTCATGCCTGGGCAAGTGCGCGCCGGCACGGAGCCCCGTGGCCCAGAGCGCGTCCTCCAGCGAGCAAGCGGGATCGCTCGGGTAACCGAGGAACCCCGCGGCCCCTGGCCCTCCGGCCCCCAGCAACGTCGCCCGCTCGTGGCTGTGCAAACGCTGCCTCAGGGAAGCGTGGGTTTTCTTTTGCACAGCTTAGAGTGCTCTGCTTCGCCGGGTGCTGCAGGGTGTCCAGCAAGGAAGCGCCCGGAGCGGGGTCCGCGCCCTGGAGGGAGAACTCCGTCCGCGCGTCGGAGAGGGCTTCGCCGAGTCGCGGCGCCGCCTCCAGGAGCTCGAGCAGGGAGTCGGTGCCGAGGTCCACGGCCACGCTGGACACGCAGGCGGTCCAGCCGGCCCAGAAGGCCGCGGCTCGTCGTGTTGTCGCCCACTGCAGCCCCGCGCCAGAGAGCCTGAGGGGGAGGCCGAGGATCTCCCGCGCCGCGGCGTCCAGGGGCCGCCCTGCGAGCTCCTCCCAGTAGCCCGCCAGAGTGGCCCTCCTCCTCCTCCTCCTCCTCCTCCTCCTCCTCCTCCTCCTCCTCCTCCTCCTCCTCCTCCTCCCCCTCCTCCTCCCAGTCTCCGTCCGCGGCGCCGCGTCAGCGGCCTTCCCCAGGGGGATGCCTGCGCCTCTGGCTGCGGGGAGCCCCGGGGCTCCGACGGTCTGATGTCTTTTTTTTCGGCGGGGGCGCCTGCTCAAGCGCAGGGAGCTGCTGCTGCTGCTGCTGCTGCTGCTGCTGCGGGGTGGATGGAGGAGGGAGGAGGGAGGAGGGAGAAGCGAGGAGGGAGGAGGGAGGAGGGAGGAGGAGGAGGAGCGAGGAGGGAGGAGGGAGGGAGGAGGGAGGGAGGAGGGAGGAGGGAGGTCCACCCCGGGGGTGGAGGGAGGAGGGAGGAGCGAGGAGGGAGGAGGGAGGGGGCGAATAAAAGCTGGCCCGCGCCCGGGCGGCGGCATCGAGTTCCCCTCCCTGCTCCCTCCTCCCCTCCCTCGTCTCCTCGTCCCTCCCACCTGCCGCCCTCCCGCTCCCTGCGCCCTTCCTCTCTCTTTCAGGGGGGGTCGGGTCGGGTCCCAGCCTTGGAAAGCTCTGCCTGCTCCGAGCGTTGGGCCGCCGCCGTCGCTACCGCGGTCCTCGGCGCGGCCTTCGGTCGCGGTCGCCCGCGCGACGATCCCGGCGTCGGCTTGGCTACGCACAGCAGGTTCAGACCGCGTCGGCGCGGCGGCCCCAGCGCGGGCGTCCGGGGCCTGGAAGCCGCGATCGTTCGAGGTTGAACGATGCACGCGGTGTCAGGAGCCGACGCCAGCGTCATCGCGACGCAGACTTACCGTAGGCGTTTGCGGCGTCTCCGTGTTTCCGATGCGCGTCGCATCTGTTTGAACGGATCGCACGCTCAAGAGGATGTACCCAAGACAGCCGACAAGCTCGTAGCGCGCTGGGCATTTCGATTCGCGGAGCCTCCTGGCTGTGAGCGTGTCGTCGTTTTGTCCGCCATTTGTTTCAACCAGCCGGCTCCTCTGTCTACCGTGCTAGTTTTTCCCGTGAGGACAAATTGTGCGAGTACCACGTGAGGATTCTCAGAAAGGTGTACGTTTGCGCGGATCTTTTGAGCAAGGATGTTCCGTTCTTTCTTCCTGTCTCTCTCTTTCCTCCTGCGCCTCCTCCCTCGCGCGTCCCTCCGGCTCGTCCTGCCTCCCGGTCTTCGGCGTGGAAGCTGTCGGGTAATCCCCGCCTCCGCTGGAGGTCTGCCGATGAGTCTATGATTCAATGCGATCGGTAGGGCCTCATTGTGAATCGACGGTGGAGTGAAGCATCAAGTGAACACCGGTACCTTAGTGTACATAAGGTGCGCGGCACTCGTCGCCCGTCTTGGGAGCGCTCAGCCCCCAGGTCACGTTTTAAGGGGCCCAGTATGGTGAAGCAGCTGTCAGCTTTCGGCTGGCCGCCCCACAGAGACCGTTTCGATACGCCATCGTTTGCAAGACAGCTCGTCTGCATGGCTGGACGCTTCGTGTGCACGGCGTTTGAAGCAGCGACTGAGTAGCCGAACCTGTCATCGTGTTCTTGGGTCCGCTCCCCCTCCTCTTCTCCAAAAATTGCACTGAAAAGACAAGACTACCGACAAGCAATCAAGCAATGGTTGAGCTGCAAGCGAGCTGCGGCCGTGCTGCAGGCGAGCGGAACACTTCGACAGAGCAGTCACACGTCAAGTTGAACGCAGGCGCACCGCTGGCACGAGTCAATGGCAGACCCGGATCCGGAGAGTCAAAGGCAGCACACGCAGCGCTTCGCCGCGGGACCAAGTCCAGACATTTACCAGCCTGGAACATACGATGCCAATCTTAGGGATTCCTCACACGATGCTGGAACATATGCTGGGCACCTCCTCACCACGATGCCAATCTCAGGGATTCCCTTATTTTTTTAGGGCGAATTCCTAAGATTGTCATCGCCTTTTGGCGTGTCAATCTTAGGGATAGGGATACGTTCGAGGCTGGTAAGACATTGAGGGGCCCTGCGGGTCATCGTCCAGCGCCGTCGCCGCGCAGACGGCCACCGCGCTGCGGGAGGTTGCGCCGTCGCCGCTGCAGCGCGGCACAACTGCAGCCTTGCAGCGTCGTTGCGTTGCCCATTTGGGGCCTTCCCACCAACCAACATGATCGGCCAAAGCGCAGACGTGTTGAGATATACATGCATATATAATTATGTATATGTATAGACGTAAATATGCATATACATATACATACATATATATACATATATATATATATACACGAGTATCCCCTTCTCTCTCTCTATATATATATGTATATATATACATACATATATATATATATAGATGAGTAGGCCGGGGTCGGGTCCGGAACCACGGCCCCGGCGTGGCATGAGGTCCTGGGCGGCCCAAGGGTTCCTGGGCGGGGCCCTGAAGATTCTCGGACGGCTCCGAAGGCCGCAAGGACCAGTTCGACACCGCCCCAGACGCCCCGCGAGCGGTCCAAGACGCGCCAAGATGGCCTCAAGAAGAACCAAATATCTCCCAAGACGCCCAAAGAGGGCTCCATGAGGCCCTCCCAGAGGGCCCCAAGAAACCCAAACCGTTCCATTTACCAAGGAAAACTTGCATTTTCAGCATATACGATTGTCGGGCTTCCACACCGTCCTCGACGACCCAAACGGCCCAAGACGGCCACGGAGAGCCCCAAGACGGCCAAAGAGGCGCCCAAGACACCCACAAGAAGACCCAAATAAGGATTCAATACTGCGTAAGAGAGCCACTCATACCGCCGGCGGGCCCCAAGAAAGCTCCCAGAGGCCCCCACGAGGCCCACAAGCAGCCCGCACAGAGGCCCCAAGATGCGCCCAGACAGGCCCGAACAGGGCCCAAAGAGGCTTCGAAGTTGTTTACAGGGGAACCACCGAGGTTCCCCAAGATACGTCACAGATCTTCCCCTCATTCGGCCACGCCTCTGGTTCACTGGGCTGCAGCCGCCCTTCGAATCAATTGTTCCCGCTTCGCTGCGGCGCCAGCTGCTCCTGCGACTCAGCTTGCCGTGCTCCCTCCTTCTCGTAGCCTTACCTGCCTCCTCTGGCCCCCTTCTCGTAGTCTTCCCTGCCTCCGTGCTCCCTCCTTCTAGCAGCCTTCTCGTAGCCTTCCTTGCCTCCCTCCGTCCCCCCCCCAATCTTCGCGCCCTCCCTTCCATCTTTCGTCTAAGCTGCGGCTCTCAGACAGCCCCGCGACCGCCCTGAACCTGGAGCCCCCGCCCCCCCCCCGAAGACCTTGCACCCTTCGAGGGAAAGCTGATGCACGCGCGGGGCCCTGTCCCCCGGCACCCTGGACTTCACGCGATGCGCATTCACAGCGTCTCCGGAGACGAGCAGAACCTAAACGCGCGCGCAGCGCGCGCGTGGTTCTAGTATGTTTTTTATGTACGAACGCACGCATGCGTGTATGCGTGCATGCGTGTGAGATCGCAGTGGAACGGCAGGCGAGGCGAAGCTGCGTGGGCGCGCGAGAGGAATGAACCCGCCGTTGCTAGGGCGAAGTCAAGACAAATGATTCTCCCCCGCCCGCCCGTCCGGCGGTGGCCCGCGGTGGCCCGCGGTGTCCCGTGGTGTCCCATGGTGTCCCTTGGTGTCCCGTGGTGTCCCGTTGAGTGAGATCGATAGTGAGATCGACAGGTGTCGCGTGGTGTCCCGTTGAGTGATATCGATATTGAGATCGATACTGAGATCGGTGTGGTGCCCCGAGGTGTCGCGTGGTGTCCCGTTGAGTGGTATCGATAGTGAGATCGATGGTGACATCGACAAGTGTCCCGTGGTGTCCCGCGGTGTCCTGTTGAGTGAGATCGATAGTGATATCGATAGTGAGATCGATGTGGTGTCCCGTGGTGTTCTATGGTGTCCCGTTGAGTGAGATCGATCGTGAGATCAGTAGTGATACCGGTCGTGAGATCGAGAGGTGACCCGCGGTGTCCCGGGGTGGCCCGTGGTGGCCCGTGGTTTCACGTGGTGTCCCGTTGAGTGAGATCGACAGTGAGATCAATAGTGAGATCGACACGGGTCCTGTGGTGTCTCGTGGTGTCCCGTTGAGTGAGATTGATCGTGAGATCGATTGAGTCAGATGTTGGTTCCCCCCCTCTCCCCCTCCCACAAACTCCTTATCACCCGAAGGGTGGTCGTGTAGGTATGTATGCGTATATGGGTGTGTCTAAATAGAATGGCCTTCGGCCCATCCCGCCACCGTGCCTGGGTTATGCGTATGAGGCATATTGGATGTTCGTTGGGTCGTTGGGGTATCGTGAGGGCCGTTTCGGGGGTCCCCCGAAGCTTCCGAGGGTATATCTGATGCTTCATGTGGCCTTTTTTGGACCTCTTTGGGGCCCGTTGGGGGGGCATTTTGGAAGCCTCTTGGGGCCTGTTCGGGGCCTTCTTGGCGCTTTTTGATGCAGAAGGCTATGATTTTCCGTTCTAGTTGCCCCTCTTGGGGCTGGATTGGAGCTCTCTTAGATTGTCTTGGGCCGTTTTGGGGCCGTCTTGGGCCAACGTGAGACCCTCCTGGGGACATCTGGGCCCATGTGGGGGCGGCTTTAGAAATGGGGGGCCTCCTTGGACGTTTTGGAACGTCGGAAGCTAGAACAGTGGGAAGCCCCAATCGTTGCAAAACCCAAGGAACGTCTACGTTTTGGCCTCTCGGGGCCCTTGTGGGGCATTTTGAGCCCATCCTAGGTGTCTTGGCAAGCTCTTTGGCAGTTTCGGAGGCCGTTTGGATTCAGCTGGGGGGTGTATTGTGGCCCCTTTCGTCTGTCTTGGTGCTCTGTTGGGCGGGGTCGGCGACCCAGAGGCCCCTGCGACACACCCCGGCAGCGCCCAAAAGCGCCTGGGAAACCGGGGGTCTGGACCCTTACGAACCTTGCAAGCCCTCTCCCTCTCAGGGTTGTACGGTAGGTTCGCGTCGTGTCGACGGTCGGCGACCCTAGCGCGGGCGTTCAAGGTTGAACGCCGCCGGCGACCCAGAATCGATCGATGTTGAACGATCGGACGTTGCGGCAGCGGCCGATCGTTCAAGGTTAGACGATCCCTGCGGTGTCAAAAACCAACGCCGGGGTCGGCACGACACGAACCTGCCGTATGAGCCTTGGGGTATTGTTCTACGTGCTGAAGGCACGTTAGTGGCCAGGGGCAGACATCTCTGCCACGACCGGCCCCGAGGATCGGGAGATTGTGGGCCTCGTGATTTCGAAGTCCTGTTGCGGCGTCGAGCGTCGCCCTGCTCGGCCACGCACCAGGGAGTCCTTCGGCAGCAGTGCTCCTGTGCGCTCGCCGCTCCCGATCCGCCTCCTCCCCGTTCCTCTCCTTTTGCTCGCCACCTCCCCTCATGCTATGGATATCCTTAGGCTGTTTCGTTTGAACCTGGAGGGTGTCCCCTGCTGAAGGGGCGCGTCCCCCTGCTACTGTTCACTGCCCTTCTCCAGATTGAGCCGTCTTGCGACTGGGGCCTTCCTGGGGCCTTGTTGGGCAATCCTCTTAGGAGTCTGCAGCTCGCTTTTCATCGCCGTATCGGACAACACACTTGGGCTGCACTGGGGCCTCTCACGGGCGATCTTGAAGGCATTTGGGGGCCGTCTTGGGGCAGCATTTGGCCATCTCGGGCGACTTTGGCGGCGATTTGGGCATCGCGGGGTCAGTTCGGAGCCGCCCTGGGAACATCACTCGAAGCTAAGGCCCTGGAGGTCACTCGAGATCCATGGACGCCTCGGGAGGCGCGACAAGCTCCAAGACGGAACCTGCTGACCACCAACGAGGGCGGTCGCCAGCCCCTTCGGAACGCCGGCGGGCCACGCCGGGACTGGCCCACGAGTCAATCAGGGACAAGAGCCTCCTCCTCCTCCTCCTCCTCCTCCTCCTCCTCCTCCTCCTCCTCCTCCTCCTCCTCTCTCCTCCCTCCTCCCTCTTCCTCCTCCTCCTCCTCATCCTCATCCTCCTCCTCCTCCTCTCTCTTCCCTCCTCCCTCTTCCTCCTTGTCCTCCTCCCTCCTCCTCCTCCTCCTCCTCCTCCTCCTCCTCCTCCTCCTCCGGGCGGCCGCGGAGGAGGAACGCGGGGGGAGGGGGGGCACCGGGCGCAGGAAGTTTTCGCCACGAGGAGGGCGCGGGCGGCCTCAGGCACCGAAGCCGGGCGTACGCCCCGAAACAGTCAGGAGGGGAAGGAACACACAGACACAATGAATCGTCGACTCCCTAGAAAATATGGGAAACTATGGGAAGTGGGGGGGAAGACAGAAACCCAGAAAATATGTGGAAATATGAAGAATCTTGTTATTTTTGTGTATTTATTTGCGTGTCCAAGGGCCCCTTCAAACAGAACAGGCGAACGAGCATATCCGATCTCACAAGCAGGGGCTGCCACGGCAGGCGGCTCGTCGCCTATCGTGTTTGTGGCGCCGCCGTCCGAGAGCGGCGCTCGCCCAGGTCAGGCTGGCGGATGACTGGCGCGAGCGGCTGAGCGCGCAGCCGCCCGCCAAGCGGCCGCGCGTGGGCGAGGCTCCTGCACTGGCGGCCGGGGTGATGCCGGACCGGGCGGCTGGCGCAGACAACGACGACGGCGACGGCGACGGCGACGAATAAAGGGCGACGACGACGACGACGACGAGGACGAGGACGGCAGCCGCGGCGGTGATGGCGACGGCGACGGCGACGGGGGCGTCTGCGCCGACGGTGGCGGCTGCGACGGCGACGACGACGACGACGACGACGACGACGACGACGACGACGACGACGACGACGACGGCGACGGCGACGGCGACGGCGACGGCGACGGCGACGGCGACGGTGACTGCGACGGCCGCGACGGCAGCCGCGACTCGGAGGAGTGCCAGTCGAGACAACGGCGTCCCTCCCTGGCGCTTTTCCTTTCTTGTTGGGGCTCCTGGAGGCTTCTCGTCACCACGGCTGGATCCGCCTCGAGAGAAATGTCAAAGTGGATCATGGGTGGGGTTTGGGGTGTTGGACTGCGCGGGGGAGCAGACGTCTCGGCACCGAAGCAGAAGGGTCCCAAAGTCGGCCGCCTTTCTGTTTTGAGAGGGGCTCGAGCACCGGGAGAAGAAGACGGCTCGGGCATGAGACGCTGGTCCAGGGGGAAGGGCTCTCCTGGGTTCAGGACCCTTCTCCCTCAGGGCCTTGGCATCGCTCGGACGTGTGCTTTTTTTTCTCGGCGAGGACCATCGAGGAGCATCCTTGATCATTTGGCGAAAAAGCCACGCACGAAACCGGAAAAAACACAGGGAATGGACGTCCAAGCGATGGCGAGGGGCTCGGTCCCAGGCATCCGACAATGTAACTCTTTTCAGTGCGTGGCCCCAGGGGTCCCGACCTCTTCCCTGGGGGTGGTTTTTCCGTCTGGGATCCACTTTTGATGGCCCGGGGCCTGATGACATGTCCATGCCCCAGAGGCCGATATCGAGCAACAAAGTGAATGATTGAAACATCGATTCATGCCGTCGGAGATCTGGAACCCCTTCGTGCTAGACGAGACGACGACCACGGCGGCGGCGGCGACGTCGGCGGCGGCGGGTGGTTTTTCGGCGCGGCATCGCGCGCCTCAGGAGCTTTGGTCCCCTTCCCCGCCTGTGGAGGGGGGTGGAGTTCACAAAACCGTTTGTGTCATATGTGTTGTTCTTCGTATCGCAACATACGTTCTCGTGGGATCGCTGTCGCGCTACAAGCAGCACAACGACTTGATACCTGATGAACAACTTTCCATACGACGGCGGCATCGATTTGGCGACGGCGATGACGATGGTGCAATGGCGGCGAAACTGGAACGGAGCGATTTCTGCACATGCGAACGCTTAGAATGAACAGCAGTGGTCTTCACTTGGGCGAAAACTACTTACGTTGAGCGACCCCCCTCCCTGAACACCATGCAAGGTCATTAAGTCATATCTTTGAAACGTGTCGTCCACGTTTCATGCAACGCACTTGCAATTAAACGCGGCCGCTGAGAATCTAATAGAAGACCCCTGTACGCTCAATCTGGTTGCTCCGCCGATCCTTCAGTAGCACTTGGCGTGCGTTTCCAACATTGGGAAGGCTTTGCGGCCAGTGCCGCCGACCCTGGAGGGGAACGACGATCACGACGGCGGCGTCGGCGGCGACGACGACGCTGACGTTGGGCTGAGTCCTCAGGGATGCTTCGTGGAGCCTCTTCGGAGCGCGCTCGTAGGCTTCTGGGGGGCAGTTTGGGGGCCTCTTGGGAGCATCTTGGGGGCCTCCTGGGAGCCTCTTGGCGGTCCCGTCCAGCCTCTTGGGGCTCTCGGAGCATCGTGGGGGCCCCTTCGGGGCCCCTTGGGGCCTCCTGGGAGCTTCTCGGAGCCCAGGGCTGGAAATGTTCGTTCGGGCTCCCGCGTGGGCACGCTCTTGGAGACGTTTGGGGGGCCTCTTTGGGCTGCCTGGGTGGCCGCCTGGGCTGTCTTGGGGCCTCATTGGGTCGTTTCGGGACCGTCTTGGAAACCTCTTGGAGGCCTCTTGTGCTGATCTTGGTGGCATCTTGGGCCGCGTTGGGGCGTCGGGAAGCCGAAAAAGGCGAGAACGCCCGAATCTTTCAAACACGCACAGAAGACCATTGAATGTTGCCTGTTGTGGCCCTCTTGGTGTGCTTTTGGAGGCCTCTCCGAGCGTCTTTGCAGCTGCTTGGGCTGTGAGGAGGCCATCTCTGGCGTCTTGGATCAGTTTTTCGGCGATCCGGAGCCCCTTTGGGCCGTCTTCGGGGCCTCTTAGCCTGTCGTGGAGCCTTCTTTGGCGCCAAGCCCCGGGACTCCTTCCCCCCTTGGGGGAAGGGATCAAAGACAAGGGGCTTCCTTTCGACTCAACTACGACGTTGCTCAATCTCGCTTTGGTTTCGCTTTGGCTCGCTCGCTTTAGGAGGAGGGCCAGTGAAAGCGGGGGGCAGCGGCAACGGGCCCAGGGAAAGTGGGGTCAAACTCGACGGGGACGACGACGACAAGGACGACGACGACGACGACGACGACGACGACGACGACGACGACGACGACGACGACGAGTCAAACAGAACAGCGTCGTCCACACGCCACAGGGTCGGTAAATTGCGGTTTGGATTCTAGCTGTTGGGAGGGTTGTACAGCTGCATTCGGCGCAGCGTCGACGTTCTGGGATTTGCCAAATCGCTGATCTGCGCGTTTCTGGTACATTCGGTAGTGTTTCACACAGTGGTGGGAGATCTCTGTTTCCACTACTAATACTTTTTGGAATTATCATTTGTTGGGAGGGTGCTCCTGGGCAGTTCATTCGGCGCAGCGTCGACATCCTGGGATTTGCCGAGTCGCTGAATTGGGTATGCGCTCCTAGTGTGTTTGGTGGTGCTTCGCGGAATGGTGCGAAGTCCACGTTTCCAATACTATGCATTAGATATACAGCTTTGGGATGAAGTGTTCGTAAACAGCTGCATTGGCAGAGCCGCGCGACGCCCGTAGCTCCACAAAAGTTGTGGCTGAGTGGGAAAAGAAAGAGCAGGAAGAAGTGGAGGAGGTGGAGGAGGAAGTCGATGTGGAGGAGGAGGAGGAGGAGGAGGAGGAGGAGGTGGAGGTGGAGGAGGAAGTAGGAGGGACACCTGGAGAGAGGACGACGATGCAGGAGGAAGGCCGCTGCGCCGAAGAGCGTTCTGGAGCAAGGGACTTTGAGTGTTTGTTCGGGCGTGTTTGGATGCCTTGGCATTCGACAGAGGTATTCGGAGGTCCAAGGATGGTCCTCAAACTCTCCGAATAGGTTCGAACGTTCTCGGAAGAGCTGAGGGAAGCTCCGAAGGGCTTTCCAAGACCTTGTGGCCTAGACTGTGCGTTGAAAGGAGAAGAGGAGGGAGGAGGGCAGGCGCAAGCTTTGGAGTCGCGTCCTCCTCCTCCTCCTCCTCCTCCTCCTCCTCTCCCCCTTCCTCTCCCCCCGTCCCAGAAGAACCGCCCCACAACTTGGATTCCACGATGCTTCGGCCTCAGGATTCCCGAACCATTTAAAGGGCCCTAGGGTCCAGGCCCAAAGATTCGGAAAGATCGGCTTCCTGCTTCAACGACACCAAGCAACTGCATAGATCAAAAGACCCCGTGGCACGAGCACCAAACAGCTCAGCGCCGACAAAGCCGAGAGTACGAGTTCCGTGCGGTTCTGCGCTCGAAGCTTCCTTGGCACGAGCCCCTGGAGGGTTCAGCGCCATTGGCACAAGCCCCGAGGGGTTCAGCGCTGATGAAGCTAGGAGCACGAGCCGTGACAGGTTCTGCGCGCGAAGTCTTGCTGTGACGAGCCGCAAGGTTTCAGCGCCAGTCGCACAAGCCCCGAAGGGTTCAGCGCCGATAAATCTATCAGCACGAGCCCCGAAGGGTTCAGCTCTCGAAGCCTCGCTGGCACGAGCTCCAAAGGGTTCAGCGACAGCGGCACGAGCCCCGACGGTTCAGCGCCGGTAGAGCTGTGAGCACGGGCTCGGAAAAGGGTTCTGCGCTCGAAGCCTTGCTGGCACGAGCCACGAAGGGTTCAGCACCAGTGGCACCTGCCCCGAAAGGTTCAGCGACGAGCCCCGAAGGGTTCGGCGCCAGGAGAAGGGATGAACAAAGATAGTGAGGAAGGATGATGCGCAGACGTGATGAAGAGAAAGATGTCAAATATTAAGAAAGCGATGGGGGTGACTCCGATTCAACATGGGATGAGTGATCTCGGGGTGGGAAACCGTACACATGTATGCATCACCGCGGAGGCGGATCCACTATTTTACTCTGCGGTGGCCTTGCACATCTGTTTCTTATGCTGCCGCCTGACATGTTGACGCTCTGCGCGGCGCTGGGAAATTATAGGAGCCCTGCGGTAGCCAATGTGAGTTCCATGTTCCTCAGTATCTCCAGCCCTCATATCCTCGTCCAACGTCTCATTGTTTCCATGTTGTTGTTCCTTGCGTGGTAGATTTGTGCGGTGTTTTGCCAAGAAAGATCATTTACATGTTTGTGCCGGCGTTCCAGAAGTTCAGTTTTGCGGCGGATGCAAGACGATTCTTCTTGTGGCTGCTCGCAAAAGGATTCCGTTTGGGGCGGGCTACACCAAAACATGATGGTTGATCACCACATAAAGTTGCCTTCGCGGCTGATTGCAAGAATTGTTTTTTTCTGTGGTGGATCACACACGTATTCATTTTGGGGCGGCCTTACAACTCGCATTCCGTACGTGGCAGAGTACCCGTGGATTCTTGTTGTGGTGGTTTGCAATGTTTGTCCGGTGCGGATCACAATCGGGATTTGTTGTGGCAGATTTCAAAACGATTTTTCGCTGCCGATTACAAGGTTCTTGTTTGTGTTGGATCACACATATGTTCTATTTGTGGCGCAGTACAAAAAGGATTATGTCGTGGATTGTACACTGATCCCTGTTTTGCGACGGATGACAGCAAGGATACAGTTTGCGGCGGCTTACACGAATTTGTTATTTTATGGCACGTTGCACGCTTATCCTTTTTTGGCAATGAACCAGGGGACAAACAACAACAAAAAAACACTCAACAAAACATGCAACTTCAGGAAACA